CCTGGGCTCCTTCCCAGCCCTGCCATGTGCTGCAGGCCACCAGCCTGCCCTGTCTGCACCCCTGCCCCACACCTCACCTTGTTCCTGCAGGGTTCCCACAGCACAGGGAAAGCAATCAGGCAGGAGTCCATCCTGACCCAGCCTTTTAAGAACAAACAACTTACAGCAACAAACCAAACAAATCCAGTCCCTGGTGCAGCAAAGGGGCTGGAGCCCATCGGGCTGGAGCAGCACCAGGGCTGTCCCAGAGTTCTTTCCCTGCTAGCACAGGAGAGACAGACCTCTGTGCTCAAAGGCATAACTCACTGGAAAAATTAGCCCATAAAATTATTTCTTATAAGAGAGGCTTATTTTTTATTTAATGCCACATGAAATAAATGGCAAGGCCCAGCAGGGAGGGTTTAGCACGTGTGGTGCTGACCATGTTGCTTAGCATTTATATAGTGCTTTGCTAACTCAGTCCATGCTCAGCCACCCTCTGCATGGCCTTGGGGAAGTCAGGAGCATTTCATACCCCTAACACCAGATAAGGTGTACACCTGGGATGGGCACAGCTCTGATAATTTTCCTCTTCTCCCATGCTCAGCATCCCACCCAAGCTGATTTTTGGTGGCTGCAGCTCACACCTGTGTCCTGGAAGTCCCAGCAGAGCAAGGGGAAGGCTCCTGCCCCCCGACTGCAGCTGGTGGTTCCCAGCTGGGCAGGCAGTGGGAGCAGAGCTCAGCCTGAGGGGCAAGGAACACCCCTCAGCTGAGGAGAAGGGTTTAGAGAGCAGGGCCAGAAGCTGGAGTATGTAGGGGAGAACAGGGGTAAAGGGATGTTGAGGGGATGCTTGGGCTGAGGAGGGCACTTGGATGGGCTCTTGGTCTTAGGCAGAAGAGAATTTGGGGAAAAGCTAATAGAATGATTCTCATGCAGAAAGGTTTAGAGATTGCTTTGAATGATCTTGCTGGGCAGGGGTGTCCAAGGCAGGACAGGTAGCAGGGCTGGGGAACAGGACAGCAGGGCTGGCGTGGGGCTGGGGTACAGAGCAGGTGTCCCTGGAGGGGAGCAACCTGGGGCAGTGCTGGGGAAGGGCTTCAGTGCTGGGGGCTGGTTGCTGTGTCAGGAGACCTGCAGGGCAGGCAGTGACCCCTGGGAGCTGCCTCCCACCTGCACACAGCTTGCCCAGCTCCTACACACAACCACTGCTGGAGCAGCAGGACAGAGCAGACACACACCCCTTTGGCAGGCACCAGGGACAAACAAGGCCCCAGGAGGGGGCACAGAGCCCACCCCACAGCTCTGTGCCCCCAGCTGCTGCTCCTCTGGGCTGGGTGCCACAGCCCATCGCTTCCCCCAGGAAAAGTCTCAAGGATCTGGGGGGACCTCGGGCAGGAGGTGCCCCAGGACAGGCTCTGGCTTGTGCAGCTGCTTTTCATCTGGTCAGGAGACAGCCTGGCACAGAAGGGAACAAACGAGGACAGCTGCCCTAGCCTGTTAATTATTTGGGATCCTAATTTTAACGTAAATACATCTGTGTGCCAGTTCTCCCCTCCCCTTGGAGCTGGCATAACTCCTAGTTTCAATGGATTTCTCTGGTAGAGACCAGACCCATATATTGCAGTCATTACATGAGCCAAATTTATGTTCACATAGATAGCATTTGCTTTTGGAAATAATAATAGCTACACCCTGGTGCTGATTAATGAATAAGACACTGATTAGTGCCTACTGGCTCTGTAAACGAACACTTACAGCACCACAAGGTATTGTAGGAGCGGGACGTGTTTTGCTTGGGTGTTTTTAATATCATCTACTAATATGTTCATTCAGATAGATACTTTTACCATAAATCAACTAGAGATTGTACTATTTTTATTGAAACTTTCTATACACTTTCAAAATTAAAAATACTATGAGTTAACTGACAGTCTTAAAAATTATTTTATTGTCAATCCTTCCCAAAAGATCCCCACCTATATCAATTATTATGTTGTAATTAAAAGCTAGAACAAATATTTATTTCATTTGCATTTAAGATACATTGATTCTGTTCTACATCTCTGCTCAGAAGACAGCTTCAGGACCCCTTGAAAGCTGTATTTTTTCTGGGAAAAGGAATAGATGCCTGACCACAAAGTTGACCCCAACTTACATTTTACAAAACCAAAACCAAAACCATTTACTGGTTCTGCACACGGTCTGTGCTCATACTCTCTAAGCTGAAACTTCTCATTTTGCTGTAAACCTGAATCTAACAGGAGTAAGAAGCTGCTTTAATGTTTTAAGGAGCAGTTCCCCTAGCTGCAAAGGCATTGAAGACAGCCTGGGAGACACGAGCTGTGCAATGCTGCTCTTTATTGTCACAGGTACAGGGTTCTGATGTGGTAGTGCTGCACATTCAGGTTATTGAACATCTGCAGTTCAGGAAGGACTTTTCAGTCTCTAAAATGGTTACAAATGGTTTTTGCTGGAACACACTCATTCTAAGCAGTCTGATCTCAATGGAGTCCAACTATCTTATTTTGGGTAATAACAGCAAAGTCTTACCAACTGTTGATGGAGATACCATGGGATTAATCTACATTCAGGCTGGAAAAGCAAAGCAGTGCTCCCTCCTGACTCTGACAGATCCCAGAAGTCTTTTCCACAGTTGATTGCCAGGTTGTCCCGATCCAGAGCTTAGGACTGACAGCAGCTCACAGTTTATTTGCAGCTTTGAAGCCTGGTCCTGTAGTGTTTCTCTCCTGACAGAAGATGAATAAAGGTGTCACTGTGGGAGACTTTTAGCCGGCTGCTGTAAAAAGGACCCTCTTTGCCTTCCCTCACAAGACCCTCTGCCTCACTTTTGGAGCCTGCAGCTTTCCCCTCGGCTGAGTTCAGTTCCATCAGCTCCAGTTCATGCTTGGCAGCTGTTTCTAAAACTCTCTGCTTGTTGTAATACCTGACAAAGTTGTTAATGATGGGGTGGATGGGGAGGGCAATCGCTATCACCCCGCAGAGAAAGCTGATGGCAGCGTTCAGCTTCCCCAGGGTTGTTTTAGGGTAGATGTCCCCGTAGCCCACGGTGGTCATGGTGATGATCGCCCACCAGAACGACTGAGGGATGCTTTTAAAGAGCGTTTCGGGGTGGCTTTGCTCCATGGTGTAACCCAGGGCGGAAAAGACAAAGATGCCGACGGCCAAGTACATGAGGAGCAGCCCGAGCTCCTTGAAGCTGCGCTTCAGGGCGTAGGTGAGGGTCTGCAGCCCCGAGGAGTGCCGCGCCAGCTTGAAGATCCGCGCCACGCGCATGATGCGCAGCGCCTGCACCGCCTGCTGCACCTTGCTCAGCTCCATCAGCCTGGCCCCCAGGTGGGTCAGGGTCAGGCTGACGTAGAACGGCAGGATTGCCAGCACGTCAACGATGTTCATGAAGGACACGGCGAAGTGGAGTTTGTTGGGAGAGGAGAGGAACCTCAGCACGTACTCCACGGTGAACCAGCCTATGCAGGCTGTCTCGATGTTGTCCAGGGTCGGGTGCTCTACACGTTTCCCCTCCTTGTCCACGACCTGCAGGTCTGGGATGGTCCCCACACACATCACGATGGAAGAGGTCAGAATAAACAAGAAGGACAGGACGGCGATCACTCGAGCTGGGTAGGATGATTCTGGCTTCTCCAGAAATTTCCAGATGTACTTTTGGCACCTTTTCCAGCGACTTTCCGAGGCATCCACTCCCAGGTCATCCAGAATCAGCTGCACCCTCCGGGCTATTTCTTCCAGCTCCTCCTTTTTTTCACTTAGGTGAGTTTTGCAGCAATCGTCCAAAAACTTCAGATCTACTTTCCAGAATTCCATTTCGTTCTTGAAACATATGGGGCATATTCCTTTCTTCATGTGGATCTCCCCGAAGAAGTACACGTCCATGATGCATCTGAAAGCATCTGGGTCTCTGTCAAAGTAAAACTCCCTCTTCCCAGGGTCATAGTCATCACACAGGGAGAATATGCTGTCGTAGCCCCCTGACAAGCAGTGGATCAGCTCTGCCAGCCGTGTCTCC